CGGGTCCCCGTAATGGTTTCGGTGTTGCCACTAATGAGTTGGGAGTCGTGGCATTGCCCATGTTGCCTCCATGAATGTCCGTTTGACGCCATCTTGTTACTTGAACGGCGTGTTCGCGAACGAGTAATGGCCACATTAAGGACCAACCTCCGATAAATTGATCATAAACCGTATAAGGCCCGTACAATAGTTTAATAAATTTTCTTAAAGAACCTATAGGTTTTTATAAACAGCATATTAAAGAAAAGGGTCTTACAAGCGGTATCTTAAATATGAAAAAATATAATATCTTTTTTGTACATTTTATCAAGTACATTGTGCTTGTCGTCATTTTGGTTTGTTATTTAACTTGTCTTCAAGATTTTAGCTTGTGCTCATTTTAGCTTTTCAATATTTAAGGATGTTTAATTTTATTTAAACTTGTCAATATTTTATGTTTCGTAATTTTTGCTTATCATTTATGTTTAGCTGTATATTTAGGCTTGTTATTACGAGTATATACGCATATCATCATTTAAGATTGTAACCATAGCTTGTCAATATTTTAGCTTGACATCATTTTAGATTATTATTATTTAACTGTTTTCTCATTTCAGATTGCAATATTTTAGCTAATCGTCTTTTTAGCTTGTAATTGTTTAAGCTAGTCATCATTGTAATTTAAGCTTGTCATTATTTTATGTTATCTTTATTTTAGCTTGTCACTTTTGTTTAGCTCATTATTTAGGTTTGCTTGCTTGCTTATCGCTATTTTAGACAGTAACCATTTTAGCTTGATATCAATTTAGATTGTCATTATTTTAATGTTTTCTTATTTTAGATTGCAATATTTTAGCTAATTGTCATTTTAGCTTCTTACTGTTTTAGCTTGTTAACTTATTGCCATTTAAGCTTGTCACTATTTAAACTTGTCGTTATTTTAGCTTGTCACCTTTGTTAAATTCATTATTTAGGCTTTTTATTATTTAGGCTTATCACCATTTTAAAATGTAATCATTTTGTGATTGTCAAAATTTTAGCTGGCACTCATTTTAACTTTGATGTATTTTACATTATCAATATTTAATTGTTTTCTCATTTTATATTGCAATATTTTTGCTTAATATCCTTTTAGCTTGTCAATATTTTAACTTATTGTAATTTAAGCTTGTCATTATTTTAACTTTTGTTTAGCTCATTATTTAGGCTTGGTATTATTTACCCTTACCACCATTTCAGTCTGTTACCATTTTAGCTTGTCAATATTTTAGCCAATCGTCTTTTTAGCCTGTAATTGTTTAAGCTAGTCATCATTTTAACTTATTGTAATTTAAGCTTGTCATTATTTTATGTTATCTTTTGTTTAGCACATTATTTAGGCTTGCTGATATTTAGGCTTATCACCATTTTAGACAGTAACCATTTTAGCTGGGACTCATTTTAGCTTGATATCATTTTAGATTGTCATTATTTTAATGTTTTCTTATTTTAGATTGCAATATTTAAGCTAATTGTCCTTTTAGCTTGTCATTGTTTTAGCTTGTTGACTTATTGTCATTTAAGCTTGTCATTATTTAAACTATTCGTTATTTTAGCTTGTTACCTTTGTTAAATTTATTATTTAGGCTTGTTATTATTTAGGCTTTTCACCATTTTAAAATGTAATCATTTTGTGATTGTCAATATTTTAGCTGGCACTCTTTTTAGCTTTGATGTATTTTACATTATCAATATTTAATTGTTTTCTCATTTTATATTGCAATATTTTTGCGTATTATCCTTTTAGCTTGTCAATATTTTAGATTATTGTAATTTAAGCTTGTCATTATTTTAAATTATCGGTATTTTAGCTTGTCACTTTTGTTTAGCTCATGTCATTATTTAACTGTTTTCTCATAATATAAGAAAACAGTTAAATAATGACATGAGCTAAACAAAAGTGACAAGCTAAAATATTGTAATATTTTTGCTTATTTTCCTTTTAGCTTGTCATCATTTTAACTTGTCATTTAAGCTTGATAATATTTTAACTTCTCGTTATTTTAGCTTGTCATTTTTGTTTAGCTCATTATTTACGCTTATAACCATTTTAGCTTGTCAATATTTTGGCTGGCACCCATTTTAGCTTGACATCATTTTAGATTATAATTTTTTAACTGTTTTCCCATTTTAGATCGCAATATTTTAGCTAATCGCCCGTTTGTCATTTTTTATTTTCTCACCATTTAATTTATTTTAAGCTTATCATTAACTTCTTTGTTATTTTAGCATGTTATTTTTGTTTAGCTCATTATTTAAGCTATTTTAAATTGTAACCATTTTAGCTGGCCCTCATTTTAGCTTGACAACATTTTAGATTGCAATATTTTAGATTATTATTTTTGTTTAGCTTATCATTATTTTAGCTATTTATTTTCCATAGCTTTAGCTTGCCGATATTTAAACTTATTTTAATTTTAGGATGTATAGGTTTTTTAACAGTATATTACAGTAATTGTTTTTTGTCAAAGCAAAAAAATGCTTTGTTTATAAAAGATAATAACAAGGGTAGTGGCAAGTATATTTGTCAAATAGGACAATCAGCTTTTTACCAAACATGAAGAAGAAAATGGTGTTGTTTTCAAACTTGCGGTCTAGGATTAGCCTGTGACACACAATTATCGTTAGTTAACTTAGTCTGCTGGCTTATTTAGCCGGTCTGTTGGTTCTGCATATAACTTATTTCATGTTCTCTCTTGCCTCGCTAAGAAACTTGCTGCTTAGTTTCAATCGCATTCGATCGCTTTATGGCAAAGGCCGATGTTTGAGATGGAATTTGGGCCGGACAATAGTTGAAACTACTTATGCGGTTTTCGGTGTAAATGACCACGGCGTTGTTTAAGTTTTCGGCCATTAAAATGGTTTCCCGATTAACTATGTGCAGGTTTCATTAGTATTTGCAGTATTTAAGGGTTTGCTTGATGCAGTAGTGGATTTAGTCAGCATTGCGACCTTTAGTTGAGTTTTTCAATACTTTTTTTTTCTTCGTTTCCCAAACAATTTTTGAGAACGCTGCAGCGTTTTGAAAAACGCAAGATTCAAAACGCATCGATGACCTTGGATAAACTAGTAACAGTTGTGTCAAGACTTACGAATGAAGTATAAGCTCACCACAGTTCCTGGCACTTCTCATAATTGTGACAAAAATAACTATTGGTGTTGCAAAAGTATCCCGTGAGGTTTTATTAGAAATTGTATGTACATTGACATTGTATGTTGAGTGGATTAGTGTTCTGAGCTATTTATCTTTAAGATTTGTCAAAGCATTTAGAATTCAAAAATTTATAAAAAATTGCTTTTAAGGATTAAACTATAATACAAAATTTCTTTGAAGGCATCAAAGATATTTCAAAATGTTTCAAGAGAACATAAAATAAAAAAAATGCTTTAAAAATTCATTCGTAACTTAAAATCCTTCATTCGTGAGTCTTATCATGACTTTTGCATTTACTTCATTTGTAATTCTTGACACGCCTGTTATAATGTTATAGTATCGTGACTGTGGCATATACGAGGATCGTTTTTTACAAAATGGATAATTACCCAAATTATTAACTTCACCACTATCTAAAACAGTCTAGTTGACTAACACTTTTCAGTAACTAGTATATACTCGAAGATACTAGTTACTAGGAAGTATGAGTCAATTTAACTGAAATATGAACCTTTGCAAAGCGCCACCTAAGGGTTTTTACTTTAATGATAATAGCATTATTGTCACACAAGCGACATCTATGCTTCAGGCCGATAACTTATCAAACGGCCCTCGAACTTTAGAAGTAAGTCTTGACACGCCTGTTACACAGATATACAAAACAATATTATATTATTTTATCGTTACGCTACTGAGATAATTTATTGATATTAAAATTAAAAGAAAAAATAATGTTTTAAACGGTATGACATTTGGTATATACCAACCCCATATAATCTAGTTTTATTTAAGTATAGTATAATTTCTCTGAGTACTGTGTGTGCATGGGTAAGTAGCTTAGCAGCTTACAATTATTACTGGATTGGCTTAGCATTACAGTAATAACAGTCAATGGGTCTATTAACTATTATGGCTTCTCTAATATTAAACATAATTATTGTTATGCATTAGCGCTATAATTAAAAAAACCCTTTTAGAATTTCATTATTTTAACAATGAAATTTTTTTACCTTGCCACGTGGCTATATCTCATTTTTCTACCCTTAAATGCCTCTGCATATCGTTTTAAATGGTAATAGCTTTGATTTGTCGTATATGGCTTGACTTTTGCATGTGATTGAATTTGGCCTTATTGATATGTATGCGACCCCGATATCTTCGTTTTAATATTCCCGACACATGCAAATATAGCAAAAGGATATATCAATAACGCCGAAGAATTCGTATAGATGCAATAAATAAAGGATATTCATTATGAACAAGTGTTTTAATATTTAACCTGGGACAAAATTTGCTTCCTATAATGTGTCGTTTGTATTCTGAATACGCTAACAGGACATGAATTTCAATAATAGAGTCGTTAGTATGTGCAGAAGTGGTTCATTAATTTTCTGCACCAAGGCAACATTTTTACCCCAAGCTTATTTGTTAATTAACAAGAACTCAAGTAATTAAGAAAAACACTTTCGGAATTTCTTAATAACACTTAAGACTTTGTTAGGAAACATATTAATTATTTATTTTCATGGCAATTTCACTTTGTATGTTAAACAAATTTCTAGTTACAAGTTCATCAGGGTTTTTCAGTCAGTTTTTAACAAGCTAACAAATAACAAGTGTAAATAAAGACAAGATAAGCTCATCCTGGCAGCACATATTGAAGGAACTAAGGTTAAATCAACGAGAATTTGATAAGTATTATTCCCTCATACCTTTTAAACAGAAATGTGTTTTAGAAGTGAAAGACAACTCGAAGTTGCTCGAAGTAAACAGCAGCGTTCCACAAGGATCTGTACTGGGACCAACCCTATGAACCATTCTGATGATGATGGTCTTCTTGAAACTAAAATGCTTGAAGGAGCTACCCTCGTGGGCTTTGAAGACGACGTGGCAATCGTGGTCACTGCCAAAACATAGCTTTGTAGAATCAGGACTACAACTGGTAGAAAACTGGCTGGAGGAAAACAGCTTTCAAGCGCAAAATTCTGTTAAGTGTGATTCTGTATGCAACGCTAATCTGGTATAAAGATACGGAAAATAAAATATTAGCCCTAAATCTTACGCGACTTCAGAGGACTATATCCATTGGGATCTGCAGTACCTATCGTACAATATCTGCTGAAGTAGGTGTTATTGCTGGAATTCCACCCATAAAGCTACAAATTAAAGAAAGTAAAGGAAGGTATGATGGAATAGACAAGAACGTTGCCAGAAAAATCCTGAAAAATGGCAAAAAATGGGAATATGGGACATACGTCCGCTGGATCTTTCATTTAAACCAGAACTCCATGTTTGGGTGGACAGAACATTTGGAGAAACTGGATACTTCCTCATACTCTTCTTATGCTCCAGATGAAGAGAAGGTAAAAATTTAGAAGCATTTAAAAACATAATCGAGACTAAAGAAAAAAAGTATAAAATATGCCATATATGAAATTAGTTAGAAGTTAAGTTGACAATGAGATATAAACAAGAGCATTATTTTGCGCAAATCGATTTTAAATCATTAGGATTTGCTGCCTTTGTCCTTTAGCTTCGTTTATAACCCCATTGTAAAATAGATTGAAAACAGGATAATAAAAGAAGAAATATCAAATTATTAAACCTAGCACACTTCCTGGATCAGGAATTGTAAGGGCCTTGTGCCATGCATATCCTATACGAGCACGTGATTTCTGTGAGTCAGTCGTGTGGTCGAATGATAAGTTATTTAGATGAGGAAAAGTTAATTTCACGAGGAGAGAATCGCTTCCAGCCTCACCACTCTCTCCATGTACGAGGTAAAGATAGCGAAAATTATAACTGTGTTCTGGCAAAGAGATGCAGCCTTTGTGCCAGCAGACCACACGAGACATGTAATTTACTTATTTCATCTACTGGGGACCTAATCTTGGGAAAACTTCGCGAAGCGATGGCGGGAAATCCCATTGTTATCTCTAATTAAATGTCTCATTATCAAGTTTGTAATTATTTTGCCAAAGGGGTTTGATTTTAATTAAAAACAACAGGATTATGATTATTAAATACCTTCTCTAAAATGTTATTACACTCAACTGAAAACCACTCCAATGTTTTTTAAATACTTCCATCTTTAAAGATATTTGTTGTTTTAAAAAACACATTTAACAACTAAAACTGTATTTCTTTCATGGTTAACATCATGAATTTTCTATTAGAAGTTTGTGTATACATACATATATATCGAAGCCGTAAAAAATGCGGGAGCAGAGTTCAGCACTGACAATATTCCGCTTTCTTTGTTCCATTGTTATATCTTAAGGGAACCTTCACTCTATGCACTGCAACATTTTTATATTTTTGGTTTATTTTCTCTGGAAAACAACACTTTACGCAATATTTTTATCTTTTAGGTCGAAAATATAGTTTAAACTGTAAGCTTTATAAATTATCCTTACTTTAATATGGTAATCTTTTTAGTTTATCAAAATTTTACTTGGTCATCATCTTGTCCATATTTTAGCCTACTCTTTTTAGCTTGTTATCATTTTAGTTATATATAACCTAGTGTAAAGTTAATAAATAGATATTTATTTTAAAATAATCATCATTTTTTCTGTAAATATTTTAGCAAGTAATCATTTTAGCTTGTTGTCATTTCAGCTTGTCATTATTAAGCTTATTATTATCTTAGCTTGTCATAATTTTATTTTGTTAGGATTTTTAGTTCATTTGTATATACAACCAACAATTTCGTTATACAGGATGCATCAAGTGTCCTTGTATGTGTAGGTCGGTTAAATTAGAGGAAATTGCGTTATAACAAGCCTTTTAAAATGAAATTTTTAAATTGAAAACAAGCCAGACGTTCACAAAATATTGAAATAAACTAAATAACTATGACTTTTGGTTTTAGGAGTTTTTTAGTTTTTTTTAATTATTTGGGAACCGCAAATTTTTTTCCCAATTTTTAAATGCCATTTTAATATTTTGTCTAGTTTAACCAACCTTGTAGTTCAAATAAAAAAATACATACTTGATGCACCATGTATATTATGTAACAAATAAAATTTATATTATACATCTTCAAGCAAATATAGGTTAAACTGCAATAACTATAGATTTAAAATTATATTTTACCTAAACTTTATACTTATACCAAAGTTGACTTCTGAAATATTTGACTTTTCCTTAATAGCTAAAGTTTAGAATGTCGGTAATATATCATATTTAAAGTCAATTAGGCAACGTTGTCTTTAAAATTACAGTTAAAATATAACCTATATAAATTCTTGCAAAAAACTTTAAAAATTAAAAAATATATTTTTATATATATATATATATATACTAACATAAACTAACATAAAATTTTTGTCCAGAAAGTTTGCATTTTCTTTACATTAATTTTGTATTTCTTTGGACAAAATATGCTAACAGGAATATTTCGTTTAAGTTCTTTTCCTTGCTTTCTTTAAACCACTGAAGAATTATTGAAAGTTGTATAAGTTTTTATAGCGACTTTTTTGATATTTTAAAGGAACTTCCTATTTCCCAAGATTTTTCAATGTTTGTATTTTTTACGCCCTGAGAAATTCAGAAAGTCAGAATCAGTAAAATATAATTTTTAACTTCTTCTTAAGAAATATAATTACAAACGAATTCAAAATATTCTTAATAGTTTTTTGATAACATTCTTAATAGTTTTTTGATAAAAATGTAAATGTAAATTTGTATTAAATAAACTATCCTTACTGTTTTTTATACTGTATATTAGACTGGGCCAAAAAAATCAACTATTTTTTTTAAGTATATCGAAAATATGGTTTGTGGTGACAAAAAAAATATTGTGGAAGTCCCGAATATTAATATAAAGAGGTCTATCATCGCAATTTTAATTTTTTTTCCTCGGCAAGTTTTTGTCTCAAAACTCTCAAACTATTGAGTTTAACAAATTTGATTTAAAAATATTTTTTTAAGAAAATTAAATGCTCTACAAAAAAGGTTAAAATGAAATTTTCCGTCAGACGAACCGTTTCCTTAAAATCATGTCTTAAAAACTGGTATTTTGATCTTTTAACTTTGGAATTTTCTAATTCTTGTAAAAATCAGTACCCAGAAAAAAACCCATAAATATTTTTATGGGAAACAAATGCTTTACAAAAAAAGCCTTTTACCATTTTTGGCTAAATTCACTTAATCAAAAGTTATTCAAGGTTAAAGTGGAAGTCAAAACGAAATTCTTGTTTTTTCCTCTGTAGATTTATTTTTTATGGGTGATAATATTATTTTTTTCTTTATAATTGTGTATTATATAACTAATTAACAATTTTCAATAAAAAAACATGATTTTTAGTATTTAAACGATTAAATAGTGAAAATAATATTTTCTAAAGAATGTATTATTTTTTTTTAATTTTCAGTAATTTTATCAATAACATAAAGATTATCATCGATAAAAAAATTCAAGTTTTTAACTGACGCAAAAAAAATCTAGAGCGAAAAAAAAAAGAATTTCGTTTTGACTTCAAATTTAACCTTGAATAACTTTTGATTGAGTGAATTTAGCCAAAAGACTTTTTTGAGCATTTGATTTCCCATAAGAATATTTATCGTTTTTTTTTTCAGGGTACTGATTTTTACGTGAAATACAAAATTCCAAAGTTAAAAGATCAAATTGTAAAACTATACCAATTTTTAAAGCAAGATTGTAAGGAAACAGTTCTTCTGACAGGAAATTCCAATTAAACCTTTTTTGTAGAACATTCAATTTTCTTCAAAAAATATTCTTAAGTCAATTTTGTTTAACTCAATGCTTTGGGAGTTCTGAAACAAAAACTCGCTCAGAAAAAAAATATAAAATTGTGATGATAGACCTCTTAATATTAATAGTATGGACTCAAACTTCCACAATAATTTTTTTTTGTCCCTCGAAACCACATTTCCGATATACTTTTCAAAAAAAAATAGTTGATTTTTTTGGCCCAGTCTACTATTACCACTTGTCATTTTAACTTGTCATAATTTTACCATAATTTTATTTTTTGTAATTTTAACTTCATTATTTGAGCTACTGCTATTTTAGCATATCATCATTTTATGTATTCACATTTTAGCTTGCTATTATTTAAGCTTTTAATATTTCAGCTCCTTATCATTTGATCTTGTGGCATTTCTTATTTTTATTATTTCTATATTTAAAGCTAATGGCCATTTTATTTATTAAAAATAAAAATTTATTTAATATGTAAATAAATCACGCAAAACTTTAAAATAATAGTTGTTTTTATATCAACATAACAATAATATCGAGTTTCATCAAGTTTAGGTCGAAACAATAAAATATTTGAAATTATATTTACAAACATGATTTTTTCTCGCAGTAAAATCAAACAATTTACAACTTTTAACGGTGTTTTTGAAATTCCTTCCCGAATATTAGCTAATAAAATATAATGTTGTGTAGACTTTGAAATGTTGTTTTTTCTTAAATAGTGGAACTCTCCCTTAAGAGGCAGCAGTATTTCGTTCGTTCGTAGTTTTTGTCTGCTTCGGTGGGCAATAGTTATAGCTCTGGTGCGGAGCAATAGTTTTTCCTCCGTCGTATTTTCTTACGGCCCGTTGCACACCGTTTTTGCGCAGTTAAGTATTGGAAATAGACAAAGTTTTCTTCGAAAGAGCCACGCTCTTATTATTTCTATATTGCCAGCTCTTTTTTTGCTCTAGACTCGTTCTGCCAGCACAATTGATCGGTTTTACAAATATAAATTTAATATAAAATGTGTACCTAGCAGCTGTTTTACAAGAGTTTCTTAATACATTTTCATCAGACTTTTATAAAAAAAACATGTTTATCTATAGTTAGTAGTAAAATTAATCTATCCATTACGAATGCTCTTAATATTAAATACTTACTATGTGTTTTTTTAGTTGGTTCCACTAAATGGACATACATACCTGTAAAAAAAATAACTTTAACAAAACCTTCTTATATTAAAATCATAATGATTACATGATAAAGTAATAATAAGCTAGAATGAGAAAACTAGCCTATCCTTGTTTCCTTGTTTCAAGTGAACTCCAGAAACATACACGGCTTGTTCTGATTATTTGGACCTCATTAGTGCCGGGTGGCCCTATAGCCTCCGATGGACGTGGCCAACTACTTTTGTTTAGCTTGGGCACTACATCTAAGTATAAAACCTATTTTTTAATAAAAGGTAAAAATTTTAATTTAATTACGTGATAAAATAAGAAAATGCAATTTCTGATCCATTGAAGTAAAAAAAAATTAAAATTCGATCACGAATTTGCAAGTTAGAGCCACAAAACGTGATATAAATAAAGCAAAGCATTCCAAAAAAAAATATATTTTAAATCTTTAAAATGTGCTCCGTTATTTTCTAAACAAGAATGCAATCTATTCTTAAACTTTTGTGGAACTTTTTGGAACGTTTTAGGGTCTACCCACGTTTTTGAATTATTCTTCGTTTGAGTTTTTTAATGTTCCTAGATGGTATTTTGTAGAGTTTTGTCCGACCCAAAAGAAAAAAATCACACACTGCTCTGGGATATTCCCAAATCTCTAGATAATTCTCGTGTGCTCGAATGTTGCTGCTAATACATTAATTTCATTATTTCCACTTGTGACTGTTGCTCAACAACCTCCCGTTTGTAGTAAACTGCTTGACTGTACTTTGAAATGAAGTACGTGATCGAATTTTATCCAGAAAACGCTGAGCGTACATATTAACAGCATCATCAAGATTACTGCCTGCTTCTCCATAAATCAAAATCATTTCTATTTTTTCTTCCACTGTTAAAAAATCCATTATTTTTGTTTGCAAATTAATCTTCGAACTAAATTGATTAAATAATGCTAAACTATGTATAAATAGTTTCTTTATACCTCAATAATAATTATTATTTATAACTAAATACTATTTTTTTATACCTCAATTAGTATTAAATTAATTAATTGTCAAAATAATATTTTTTTTACCTTAAATGAGGTATTTTTATTAAAAATAGTACAATAATCCTTTAAATTAAAGGATTTAATGCTGGCAGGTGACCATGGTGCGCAATTGATAATTATCACCGAATAAAATAATGTTTAAAACTTAAACCAAAGGAAACTTAAATATTAGTTAAAAAATCGTGGGTACTTTAAAAAATCAGATTTAATTTAATAAGATAATTATTACCAAAAAAAAGTGATATTTTTATAGAAAAATTATTGCAGAATCGTGTAAGAAGAAAAATCGAACAAAATTATTTTTTTTATTACAGCAAAATCTACCTATTTTTAGTCGAATGATCCGAATCTGCAATAAAAAATAGGGTGTTTCATTGTAAATTTTAAAGTTACCCCCTGTTCCCCCTATAAGGAGGAAAGTATGAGGTCCAATTTTAGTACTGATTGATTTCCCCCCCCCCGAATCATTTAATTTTTATTTTAAACTTTTTTTCGTAAAATGAATACTAACTGAGAAATTTCAAAGTTACAAGTTAAATGACACCCTGTATAATAATTTTAAAAGACATTTATTTATGTATAAAATAAACAAAGGCGTATTATATAAAAAATACGCAATAGAATTGAAATCCCAAAGGCGCTCAATTAATAAAAGTTATTATCCTTCTTTGTGCGCAAAAAAAAGTTTCGTGCCCTTTAATCTTTTAAATACAGTTCAAAAGCTTAATCACGGCTCCCGGGAGGAATAAAACCGACCTTTGCATCAACTTGCTTACGACTATTACCCGATTAAATTTGCCCTTGTTGTTAACAACGATAACAAAACCTTGTCTTTTGATAAGCAAAATATAGTTGACCCTGCGGCAACAATTATGTTCCACTAATTATCTTTTCCCACAACATTAAGAGTTTATTTCGGGCAATTACTACGGCGCAACGATGGCATTGTCATAGATAACCCCGTTTCGGAGTAGTAACACCTTTGCGTTACGAGATATACAAGGTTTTCGCAATTATCCTTCCAAAATAAAGTTATTATTTTATGACTGCTAAAAATAATAACATAATTATTTTTGTTGGAGTGAAAGATGATGCTTTGATAAATTCGCTGCGACATATATTTGAGGAAAATGTGGGGAAACGTGAAGTGTCTGAATAGTTTAGTGTAGGCTCTGGAAAACACATATATCTTCTTATTTTTGAATGCTGAAATACTCCTTGAGGACAAGTTTTCCCTAATATCGCACCAAACGTTGCATTTTATGAATTTTACATTCCCCAATGCGTAAGTTACAAAACAGTCTAAATCATTTTTCGTGCACACAAAAAACGTAGTATTTGCTGTGAATATATGTTATTTATTTTAAATATACCGTTAGTTCCTATATGCGCGATTAAATAAATTGTCTGTAATACATATTTCGTATATTCCCCATTGAAAAGAATAATCGTCTTAAAACAAGACTTTGAAATATTTGAAATTAAATTTGTAATAGATGGCCCTGTAATGAAAAAAAAATCAATTTTGTTCGACTTTTCTTCTGTATACGTGTATGGGGCAAAATTTGCCAAGTGTACCAGGTGAAAAAAATTTTGTCACCGATTTTGTTTAAACTTTACTTATTTGTTGTTCTTATAACGAAGAATCATGGCATAAAATTTTTTTGCTCTAGGATTGTTCATTCAAGAGTTATGGATTATTGAAATTTATCGATTTTTTACTTTTTGGTGTTTGTTTAAAAATTCATAACTTCTGTTCATCTTTTTATTAAATATTTCAATTTAATCACCTTAAATGATTTTTTCCATACTTTTCAATGGGCTAAACCGTTTTTGCAAAAAAATAAAAATTGCAATTTTTTATTGAAATTTTGCAAAATTTTGCTTTTTTTGAAACAATGTGTATTTTTTAATTTTTTTTAAAATAGCATAAAATCCAAGTTTATTATGTTACCTTTGAATAAAAAAAAATTAGAGTGGGCCCGACATGTAGAAGGGAAGTTTTTTATATTTGAATGCCGCACGGTCTAGCCATCGAATAGCTACTACACTGCCGTATGCGTTTATACCTAGTAGATGCGAGTAAACGAATACAAAATGATAATTTAAAATGTAAAATTATGTTTGAGTAGTCAATGATGTATTTTAAATATTTACACTGCCGCACGATATAGTTTTTTTATTGTGTATTAGTCCTTCGGAGGGGAATTTAAGCCCGCGGTCCGTTCCTACCCCTAACCCGCACAAGCCATTCACTTGGCTTATGAGACTTCTTAAGAAGTAAGGGTGTAACTAAAAGAGCACTTTTGTATATAAACTGTATTTTTTTGCACAAATTGTTTAAGCATGGGTCTACATAGATTTCGCAAGGAGGGTCGATGATATTAAATAAAAAATGAATTGTTATAACCGTAAAGGCGCCATTCAGCTTATAGGCAAGCCGTTACGGTTATAACAATAAATTTTATTTAATATCATCGATACTCCTTGCGAAATCTATGTAGACCCATGCTTAAACAATTTGTGCAAAAAAATACAGTTAAAAAACTATATCGTGCGGCAGTGTAAATATTTAAAATACATCATTGACTACTCAAACATAATTTTACATTTTAAATTATCATTTTGTATTCGTTTACTCGCATCTACTGGGTATAAACGCATACGGCAGTGTAGTAGCTATTCGATTGCTAGACCCGCACGCATTCAAATATGAAAAACTTCCCTTCTACATGTCGGGCCCACTCTAAAATTTTTTTTTATTCAAAGGTAACATAATAAACTTGGATTTAATGCTATTTAAAAAAAAAATCAAAAATACACATTGTTTCAAAAAATGCAAAATTTTGCAAAATTCCAATAAAAAATTGCAATTTTTATTTTTTTGCAAAAACGGTTTAGCCCATTGAAAAGTGCGGAAAAAATCATTTAAGGTGGTTAAATTGAAATATTTAATAAAGAGATGAACAGAAGTTATGAATTTTTAAATAAAAAGCGATTTCACCAAAAAGTAAAAAAATCGATCAATTTCAATAATCCATAACTCTTGAATGAACAATTCTAGAGCAAAAAAAATTTATGCTATGATTCTTCGTTATAAGAACAACAAATAAGTAAAGTTTAAACAAAATCGGTGACAAAATTTTTTTCACCTGGTACACTTGGTAAATTTTGCCCCGTATACGATTCTGCAATAATTTTTTTTATAAAAATATCACTTTTTTGGTAATAAATAACTTATTAAATTAAATCCGATTTTTTTAAGTATACCCACGATTTTTTAACTAATATTTAAGTTTCCTTTGGTATAAGTTTTATACATTATTTCATTCGGTGATAATTATCAATTGCGCACCATGGTCCCTTTTTACCTGCCAGCATTAATTCCTTTAATTTAAAGGATTATTGTACTATTTTTAAGAAAAATACCTCATTTAAGGTGAAAAAACATAATTTTGTAAATTAATTAATCCTAATTGAGGTAAAAAAAAATGGTATTTAGTTATAAATAATAATTATTATTGAGGTATAACAATGCTAAACTATTTATAGTTTAGCATTGTTTAATCAATGTAGAAGATTAATTTACAAACAAAAAGACCTCCTTTCGTTAAGCAGTTATTCATAATGGATTTTTTAACAGTGGAAGAAAAAATAGAAATGATTTTGATTTATGGAGAAGCAGGCAGGAATCTTGATGATGTTAATATCTACGCTCAGAGTTTTCCGGATAAAATTCGATCACGTCATTTCAGTGTACAGTCAAGTAGTTTACTACAAACGGGAGTGTTCAACCGAAAAAAAGAGTTCGTCAAGCAACAGTTACAGGTGGAAATGATGAAATGAATGTATTAGCAGCAACGGCCGCTAATCCTCATGCAAGCACACGAGAACTATCTAGAGATTTGAGAATATCCCAGAGCAGAATATTAAAACCAAATGCGAATTAATGAATGCATTAAAGTCGAAGGCCACCATTTTGATCACCTACTTTAAAATTTAAAAAATAAATAAATTTCATAAATAAAACCAAGTATTTTATTCAAAAATTACTAGAATTATTAGAACCAATTTTAGTACTGATTTATTTCCTTCCTTGAATCATTTTTATTTTAAACATTTTTTTGTAAAATGCATACTAATTTAAATATTTCAAAGTTTCAAAATAGATGACTCACCCTGTATATATTATAGTAAGCCTCCAAATTTTGTAGATTATATTATAAATATTGATTTTAAAATTTAAATTTAACCTTTTGGGGATGTGAAAAAAATAATGGGTTGATATTCACAATTACTGTCCAGCTGAAAGGACATTAAGTACTCAGTCCTGCAGGATGATAATTAAGATTGATGATAATTTCATATGTACAGCCCACTCTGTGTATTAAATTTCACATGTTTCTCATGTGATAAATTCAGTTAGTTTTGCTTACTTAGAAATTCTATATCTTGTTTCGGTATTTAAATTGGTGGAACTTTCGCAATTATCTGCTATTTGTTACATCTTGCCAGTAAATTATAGTGGCATAAATAATGTTTGGAGTAATTTAGTTTAATTGCTCGAGATTACCAAGAAGGGTCCGACAACGTTTATCAGATCCGGAGACACACCCTGTGGCTATAGATATCATATTTTAATTAATTTTCACTCTCTCAAGTTTAATCTTAACCACCCCCAACCTATGTTTATTCATATTAAAATAGCATGAAAAAAGGTTCTTTAAAATAATAATCTTAAAATAATGAAAAGCTAAAATTACAGCAAGCTAAAATAGCGACAAGCTAAAATATAGAGCTAAAATAACGACAATCCAAAATGATGACAAGTTTATTTGATAACATCCTAGAATAACGACGGGCTAAAATGATGAAAACCTAGAATAGCGATAAGCTAAAATGATGACAAGCTATAATAACGACCAGCTAAAATGGTGACAATCTAGAATAGCGACAGCTAAAATGTTAAAAAAAAACTAGAATAAGAACAAGCTAAAATGATGACAAGCTAGAATATCGACAAGCTAGAATATTGACAAGCTAAGAAGATGACAATCTAAAATGCTATAAAGCTGGACAAACGACAAGATAAAATAGCGACAAGCTATAACGATGACAAGCTAGAATAATGACATGCTAAAATGATGACAAGCTAGAATAGCGACAATATAAATTATTGACCAGCTAAAATTATGAAAAGCTAAAAGAACGACAAGATAAAATGATGACAAGCTATAATAGCGACAAGCTAAAATGATGACAAGCTATAATAGCGAAAAGCTAAAATGATGACCAGCTAGAATATCGACAAGCTAAAAAAAATGACAAGCTAGAATATAACCATTACATTCAATTATATTAACTAAATAACCATACCGTTAAAAAACGAGTTTTGCTACAAATTTTTCCTTAAAAATGATAAAAAATAAATTATCTCGCTAGCGCGCTATAGCGTCACGGTGTTATAATTTAAATGGTATATTGGTAAATACTAAATGTGTGTGAAGCGAAAATAGCGACAGATTTAAAATGATGACAATCTAGAATAACGACAAGCTAAAATAATAACAAGCTAAAATAAAGACAAGCTAAAATTATTACAAGCTAGAATGGCGACAAGCTAAAATAATAACAAGCTAAAATAACGACAAGCTAAAATTATTACAAGCTAGAATAGCGACAAGCTAAAATAACGACTAGCTTGAATGATGTAAAGCTAGAATAAGGGCAAGTTAAAATGATGACAAGCTAGAATGACTACAAGCTAAACTGATGACAATCTAGAATAGCGACAAGCTAAAATAATGACAAGCTAGAATAAGCTAAAAATATAAAAAATCCAAAATATTGACAAGCTAGAATACCGACAAAGTAAAATGACGACAAAGTTAATTTGATGAGTTATTATTAGTAGTAGTTTGAATAATGACATATTAAAATGGTGACAAGAAAAGCGGTGGAATAAATTAAATCAGTGTGAAAACACTTCTATTATAGATTGGATATGTCACTAAAAATAACAAACCCTAAAAAAAACGATTTTTGCTTTAAATTTTTTAAATCTATAAATTTTCTTGGCAGCATGACGTCATGATGTTAAAATATAAATTGTACATTGGTATTATACCTATTATAGGCGTGTCAAGTTTTACGAATAAAGTATTTAAATTTTTTTTTAAACATAATCACATTTTTAACACTTTTTACTTGTTTTAACAGCATATTTTATATTTTTTTATATTTTATATTTTTATATTACATCGATTTGTAAAACGATATAAATAGTTTAAATAATAATGAACATAACCTAGAAACCTTATATCTAAGACCGTGTTAGAAACAAATGATGGATTCATTCGTAATTCTTGAAACATCTGTTATAACATCGTCACCGACGTGTTTTAAATATTACGTTTTTAAACGCTTTAGTTCTTAAAATCGGTTTGAAAAACGCGAGAATTTTTTTTTTAATAAAAATCTTTGATGCGAAGATTTTAAATATGCAATAAAAAATACCATTACGATAAATTTAAAATGAATGTTTAACGTAAACAATGGTAACAACTGATAACAAACCTGAAATTAAAATAAGCTTGATGATACTTTTTTAAACAAACAAATCAATGTTCGTCCTTAATTGACTGTATGTAGTTTTCATCTAGGGACCTTTAACATTGGATAATGGTCGAAGATTTTGACCGTTAAACGTCTGCATTGGATTGAAAACTGTCGCCTGTATTGTCGTGATTGCGGCCATTTACTTTAACGATTTCTCCAACATGACAAATTTTCTCCGTACGAGTGTAAAATATTTATGCTCCCTTAAAAATAACGATGGATATTTTGTTTGTTTGATTAAGAAAAGTCTACAAAGTTTTCGAAAAGTAAACTTTTTCTCACACGTCGTTTTTCCAATTAATAAAACTTTTTTGTAATAACCTTATTATTATTCCGTTTGTTTAGACGAAGTTTTAATTAAAATGGCGTTTCGTGAAAGGTAAAATTTATTATTTGAATAATTTTCTCGTTAGGCAGTAAAAGTTTACACGTTTAGAGAAATTAGAACATGTTAGGGCCTGTTTACTGCATGGCCCACAAACTTAGTTCCTAGATAATATCCAGACGTATGCTGAACAATTGTAGTTTCCTTAGGGAATAGCTACGTGTTATCCTAATTAAGGTTAAGACACTTAGTTTATAAATTTCGCCTAAAGAACTGGACAAAAGGACAGGGTTCGTTTAATTATAAGAAGAACTACACTTTTGTAAACTAAACTGTTGATACTTGCATAAATGGGGAATTATACTGTAGAATAAAACTTGATAAGTAAATTGGATTTCTTGTTATATTTACTAAATTTTTGTTATATACTATCTTGTCTTAAATTTACTAAGAAAAATAAGTCAAATTTCACATAATAATTATTTCATAAAATCAAGTTATTTTGTTTGAGTAAATTTATTTTGTGAAAAAACTTTGCTTAGATAGGGTCATTTGAGTGTGCTGATTTCAAAAATAACAATCATGTTGCTCAATTAGCTTTTTTTGCGATATTGTGTACAAATGTATATAATTTTTTTTAGTTTAAATATACCCCTAGCTACAATGATCTTCAGTTAAAGTATTTAATAAACAAAATATACCAACGAATTTTAATGTTTGATTTACGCAAAATCTTGAAAACAAGAGCTAAATGAGCTAAATATTGATCATCATTTTTTAAATGATTTTGGTATGGTATTTTTCTTAAGGAGCTTTGGCTATAAAAAATGTTAAAAAAATTGTAGGTTATAGTAGAGTCTACTTAAAAGATATTTACAAAGTTTTAGAAAGATGCATTGTCTGGTTTCAGAGTAAAAAATTCTTAAAGTTGCTGTTATTGTGTTTTATTGCTTAAATGTGTTGTAAAGGTTGACAAATATTTAAATACCAAATCTACAATTCTGCATATACGAGCAAAAATATCATCGATTTATTATTGTCATATTATAAGATATGCGTTATTTAAATACATCCCCCCATACAATCCTTGTCTTTAATTAATGTATATCTTATAAAGTGACAAAAAATTAATAAATTTTTCAAATGCACTTATGCCTGTAAACTTTAGAAGTAATATGTACATTTTTATTAACTTTTATATCATATTGCAGTAATTAACGATAATGTTGACTGTGTCCAACCAAAATTATCAATCTGTCATTCGAGTCTACTAGATCAGACAATACTGAATTACAAACACGCGATTATCTAGGGAAATTTGGTTTGACTTATTTGGTTACTACTATAATTTCGTTTTAAATTTAAATTATTAAAAAAAAGTTATTAATTACCTTCTATGGTTTTATTCTCTTTATTTTTTGCTGTTCCCTTTAGACATTCGCTGCATTTAACATACTGCCTATTTTTGTTTTTTTTTTCTTTGCAGTCGACTTTATTCGTTTTCACAACTCATTATAAGGTTTAAAATCACACTGCATATAGAACTGTCACTGCCACTGTCAAAAGCTTTACCATAAAAACCAAATATCAAAATCTCTCAATTCTGTGGCGTTTAAATCCTATTTTTAACATTTTTTATTATACGTTTTTGTGCTACACTATACGTATAATACAGTGTGGCCCATTTGTTTGCGACTCTGTAAAATCTTTATTTATTGTGCGATTTTAACCGAATTTGTTTTAAAGTGTAGATCTTGATAAACTGTATATTAAAGCAAAATACGCCATATTAGTACAAAATACAAGGCCTACTATGTCAGTTTTTAAGAGTAATTTTTTAATAATTTATATTAGCGATCCTATACTAAATTTTATTGAAAAATTTTAAGAAAAAAAATGCACAATAATAATTACAAAAATTTATTTTGTCAAGTTATCCATGAAAAAAACATTGAAATAAAATTGAACTTATAGTAATAGTACCATGTTACTATTATTTTAATTTTATGTCAATGTTTTTTTCATGGATAACTTGACAAAATAAATTTTTGTAGCAATATTGTGCATTTTGATTCTTAAAATTTTTCAATAAAATTTAGTTTAGGGTAGTTTTAAGGGGTGGTGAATCCAGTGCCGTGCTTGGATTTTGTTTAAAAAAAATCGTTAATATGAATTCTTAAAAATTTACTCTTAAACTGACATAGCAGGCCTTGAATTTTGTACTAATACGGCGACTTTTGCTTTAAAATACAGTTTAAAACAAATCCGGTTAAAATCGCAGAATAAATAAAGATTTTACAGGGGTGATTCGCAAACAAATGGGCCACACTGTATTATATATTGTAGCACAAAAACGTATATTAAAAAATGTTAAAAATAGGATTTAAACGCGACAGAATTGAGAGTTCTTAATATTTGGTTTTTATGGTAAAGCTTTTGACAGTGGCAGTGACAGTTCTATATGCAGTGTGATTTTAAACCTTATAATGAGTTGGGAAAACGAATAAAGTCGACTGCAAAAAAACAAAAACAAAAAATACATTTTATTAAGATCTATACTTTAAAACAAATCCGGTTAAAATCGCACAATAAATAAAGATTTTACAGGGGTGAGTCGCAAAAAAATGGGTCACACTGTATAATGCCATTTATATTAAAATGAAAAATATTTATAAAATTAAATTTAAAAGAATGACAAAATATATTTTATTTTTTGTACCTATTTCTGAATTAAGTATAAAAGCAATGTACATCTCGAACCTCCTTAATATCTTTTAAACGAAGCAAGAAATTAAAATGTGGCAAAACAAAACTTTAGTAAACAAACCAAGAAATCTTATTTCATTATTAAATTTAACCAGCAACGTGCAAGAAAAAAGTTCTATTAGGTTTAAGACAACATGATATAATACAAAACAATATAATTTTAACACCCTGTATTTTAAAGAGGAAGGAAAATTTGAACACAGTTTATCTGACAAACTACCTTTATTTTTCGATAAACTTTTGACCAGAAAAATTCTGATAATATAAATTAGACCACCACATTATATGTTGTATGACTTTTTAGGTAGTATAACAAAAATGTAATATTTTCGTAGAAAATACATTTAGGAATAAATAATGTTATTAACAATCTATTTAGTTTGCCGAACAGTTCTTTAAACGAGTCGAGCCACAAAATTTATAAACCCGTTTAAGGTAGTTAAATAACGGTTCTGGGGGAAATAGAGAATACAAAACACGATTTAAATTAAATACTTCATTAGATTGGAAATTTAGTGAATTCGAATTTCTTTTGACCGCCAAGTTCTGCCGAAGAATTTAATCGGTTAAATTAAATTTGTCCTCGTTTTGGTCTATTAAAAATTTTGGTTCGCCAAACAAAATTACTTAAATTGCATCGGAATTTATAATTTAAGTTTTTTAATTATTTTGAAATTTTCTTGCTTAGATGTTACGCAAATATGTGCATCACTTATATTAAGTTTAATATATAAAGTTTTACATTTTTTTATACAATTTTAAGACAGCTTTAAGACATTAAATTTTAACACTAGATTATGGCAAATTGAAGGTTTAAAAAAAGTATGTCTTAGTTTTATCTTTAAGATTCTTAATTGCAAAATGGGACGTTTTTATTTTTAAAATTTTAAAATTTACCTATTTTTTCGTTTATTTAAAACATGATACACTGTTATAAAAATCGGATTTGTTAACATGAGTTTGTAGTTTGTTAATTTTATTTTGTAAAATTTTAACATAATTTTTTGTAGAAAACCAAAGTTTGTACCTATTTTAACAAAGGAAAATATTTTACAGAAAGTTTTGTAAAGGTAGGCAATATACAATTTTGTAAGCATTTTGCTACATTCAAAGGTTACTGATTATTTTCTTAATGCTTAGAAAATTATTTTGTTAAAAAAGTACACGTGAATTCAGGCAGTCAATCAAAACATTTCCCACTGACAATACGCATCAACAAGTTTTACTGACTTCAGCGTATTCAGAGTATTTATAATATATTACCAGAAATCTGTTATTATTGTTATTCAGATTTCTTATACCCATTTAACGAGTGTGCGAAGTATTCGAATAAAGATGCCATCAGTAAGTTTTGTAGTAGTACTGATAGTTATATTGTACCAAATTTCTTTATAATTTGATGATTTTAGAATGGTGTGGTTTTTAATTATGAGGATTTTATTTTGTGTTTATTTATGTAGGTATGTGTTCATTTTTTCGTTTAGAAAATAGATTAATGAAGCAACATTTCTTATCAATTTTTTTTCATTTTAGTTTGCAATTTCCAATAAATACTTTTGTTTCTGAGTCTACAAAAAGGTTTGTAAAAATAAGAAAAATCTGGTTAATATTTACTTAAAATTAAATTTTTTTACTGTGTAAAATGGTTTTTGTTTTACCTTAATATCTTTAAAAACCAAGACGCAAACTTCTGTAAAATGCAAAATCGGGTGACAAAATGAATACTTTCTAAAATGTATATTGGTTGATTTAATATTATATGATCCATAACCAAGTATACATTTTGTTTTTAGAATAATTTAATATTTTAATAGAATGTTGATTAATAAAAAATACAGTGTCAAAAAGCTGTATAACAGTTTCGCGCAAAAACCATCTTAAATAAATAATCGTCTAACTTTAGTGCCTAACTAGTGTTGCGCGTGTTCGAAAAGCACCATTAAAACGGCATAAAATTACGAAAACATTAAATTGAAAGGTTGTAATTTAGGTTTTAGGAACGACATATTTAAGCAACATTTTCGACGGTGCAAAAGTTCGTTAACCTAATTTCACTACCATGTCTGCATATTAAACTGTAAAATTTATGTACTTTATGTCACACTGCACCTATTTATTTTACGACCCTCTTCAAATAAACTCTAAAAAAATAATAATTTAGCACAAATAGTAAATTTTTAAATGGTAAAGTTTTTTTGTGGACCATTATGATAATCAAGGTGAAAAACTATATTGAAAATGTGTGGGCTTTTTAACAGGTTAATCTAAGTGGAGTTTTTAAAATCATACATTTAAATAATAATAATAACAATAATATAATGTAAAAACATGTAACATAAATATATTAGTCTTTTAAATATGTGGATGAAATTTTGTTAAAAAAACACAACTTGGTAAATAACGGACACAATGGGGTTCCGTTATTTCCCAACTTGGATTTTTTTACTTGGGTGTAATAAAAATTATTTTTTACAAGTTAAATACAATTTTAAAAAAATTTCTTTCTAAAAATTTTGGAAAAAACAAATTTTTTTTGTCGTTTAATTTAATGACATAGGAATAACTCGATTATTAATAGACATGCAACAATAGACAAGACATATTTTTGTAGAAAATTACGTTCTACAAAAATTGCCTTTTATGTTTTTTCGTATAATCATCCATTTAAATTATATCGAATGTCAAAATTTAAAACAAATCAATTTTTTTTAGAATTTTATAGGTAGATATTTTAGCGCGCCATCTGGTGGCACTTGATAGCATTATTGAACTGCAAGGTTTCTCAACAAAAAATTTTACAAAAGAGTGTCTTACTCGACAAAAGTTGTACGAACATAACCTTAAAATCAAACATTTTTATATTTAAGTCCTCTAAAAAAACTGCTTTTAAAATAGTAAATTCATGGCAACATAATATTATAATATATATTATATAATACATAATATAATACCGGTTTCTTGTTTTTTACCGTTGAGTGGAGACTTTCTT